ACGATTGAAATGTCTCTAGGTCAAAGAGACTTTTGTTGTCTTAAATCAACACAGTCTCTACAATGCAGAGATGAAATGGACATAGCCCCTCTATGTCCATTTCAAATATTGAAAATAAATAAGGCCCTGGTTGAATATTTATAAATCTAATAATTTATTTATCTACGTATATATGAATTCATTGTTCTCTAATCAAAATTTTCGTGTAGTGTATGCATCATCTCCAGCAGAGGTCACCATTTAGCCAATACCAAAACACAGAGAATCAGGTCAGTTGTCGTGTCTACACTATATGGCTCCTTTTACTGTCCTGTCCAAAAAAATTTGCATTTTGGACCGGACCAAAAATTCAGCATGAATAAGTCGTTTATGTTGCATTACTGCCACCCTTTGCAAGATTTTAAGTAACTGCTTAGTTTTGTTGTGAATAATACTGCATATATACAAATATAAATAAATATAAATATATGCATATAAATACCTTGCAATCTTTACATTTGTATATTGTAATATGAAAACATATATCTATCCGAATTTAATTATTTTCATTTTATTTACATCTCTTTACGCTTTACCGTGGAGACACGCGCAACATTTGTTTGGACATCAACTCCCATAGTTCCCTGCGGTGCATTTTACCGGAAGAAAACCTGCGCTTTTCCTTTTCCCCTTCCTCTTTCCGTCAACGGAGTTTAGGTATGCAACTTACTGTTCGATTCCCTGTGAAATATCTAGTGTAAATCTTGTTTTTCTTAAACCATCCGTGTTAAAATTGTTTTGAAATATGTTCTGTTGTTGTATTAAAGTGAGCCCCGATTAATATTTTAGTTACAAACATGCTTCTTTTAGGAAATTTTAGCGGTTGACGGTAGCTCGTAGATGACATGGTGCTAAGATAGCGGTGATTAGCGGCTCTGAGGCCGGGCCAGTAGTGGTTACACACCGATTGTTGTTCGTATGTATATTGTGTGTCCCCGAGAGAAAATACAGCTTTTCTAATATGGATGTATTTATAGTAGTTACCCGCAATTTGCTATGTAAGTTTTGTGAAACAACGCAGTGCTGTGATTGCCTAGTTATTTGCGAATTTCAGTGGGTTAGCATGCTAGGCTAAATATATAGTTAAGGACAGACAAACAAGACAGAAATTGTCCTACCTTTAAATATTCCATTTTGTAGGCGTCGAAGTAATTATTCAGTACCGAACTGGACTGGGGACCTCAAAGGGTTTTAGGCTGTACGTTAAAATTCATTTTAACGTATCCATCACCAACATGTGTGACAGTGTTGTAGTACTGACCTCCGTTTACGTACAGGAAGTTGTAAGTGTAGTTGAGAAACTGAGGTTAATTTTATAGGAACAGATTTATTAGGGTCACGATATAATGTTGTCGCATTACAGTAGTTGCGTATGAAAATGCAATTTAAGAAAGTTTGTTTCCAGTTTACAAGAACAACATCCATGAGCAACAATTGTTATAAAATGTTTACTGAGTGATTAGTATTCTGACTGCATTACCTTTATTTTGTAAATCTGTTTCAGTGCAGGATGGGACGTGTAATCAGGGGACAGAGAAAGGGTGCCGGCTCTGTGTTCAAAGCCCACGTCAAGCACAGAAAAGGTGCTGCCAAACTCCGTCATATTGACTTCGCCGAACGCAATGGTTACATCAAGGGAATTGTAAAGGTAAGGAAATACTCTAACTTACCTTTTGGAGATGTTGTTTTTCTATTCACCCAGTATCCAAAGCTCTGAGTGATTTTCTGATAATGGTTTGCTCCGTCAGGATATTATCCATGACCCTGGCCGTGGCGCTCCCCTGGCCAAAGTGGCCTTCCGTGACCCATACCGCTTCAAGAAGAGGACCGAGCTCTTCATCGCTGCTGAGGGCATCCACACTGGACAGTTCATTTATTGTGGCAAGAAGGGTAAGAAGACAAAATGCAAATGCACCTGTTTAGTACTGTTGGGTACTTTTTGCTATTTTTGTTGACAATTCTTAACTAATTTTACCCATTGTTCAAAGAACAGCTAGTGCTAATGTGTTCTTGACGTCGGTTTGACATGAGTAGTGATTAAAGCTTTCTTGATCTTATT